TGTGCTATGCTCTCACTTCAAACAGTGGTGACTCACACTTATCATTCACTTATTCTTTAACTTCACCATCTATTCTCTCACCCTTCTGGCACGCCATGTGACATTACCACCCTCGACATCCTGAGGCAGACGGAGGGGCTTAATGCACGCAGTGTGGGTGTCACAACGCTGCCACTTTCCAGGCAACACATGGCCGACTGGCAAGGACATACGGCCAACCCACGGAGGGCCAGTGGCTGGAAAAACCTTTCCCTCCGCACTGAAACTTCTCAGGCTGTGACCGGATGATTGGACGTGACATAACAGGTGGATAACGGTGCGGGGGACAGGCCACACGCTGCCCCCCGCAGGCCTGCTGGGATCTGAAGAGTCTCCAGTTCGGAGCTGATTGAACCTGGCTCGCCGTTTCCCAAGCTTTGTTTGCTGTGACACGGTCCACACTGCAGTGACCGCTGATGCTGGATGGTCAAAAAGAAAAATTGTTCAAATCCAAACCAGACATGCCGCTGCTGGGAGTTGAACAGTTGGCCTGCAATATTTCTGTGTTCCAAGTCAGCCAATTAGTGACAAACATGATTCCAAGGGCAATGCTACAGTCTCTTAATTATTTCATGACAGTTGGCGAGCTAGAATGTGAGATATCTGCTGGTAGGGATTACCATATAATCGGCAGATATTTTCTTTTTCCTTCTGTTCACCTCAACTAAATATTATCGTAGCTAATTTGTGTCCTTGTTTTTTGTAATTGTCAGTATATATCCCCAGAGGGGGGAAATACAGCCTCATACAGCCTTTGGAAGAAAAAAAAAACTTTTACCAAATACAACTTGTAAACGGTTAAACTCAACTGAGTTGATGGCAGAATTGTTTTCAGCCATCTAAAACATCAATACCAAATGTCAGGTTTCTGTGTGGGCCCCTGTGGACTTGCTATTTTTGCACTGACGTTCAACAGCGTTACAGAGAGAATTCCATCGAAGAAACGCCAGTTCTTCCACTGACAGCAGCCTCTGAATGCAATACAGCAACAAGAGATTTGACTGAGGGCTGTTACTTTTTAAATTTGTTTGCTGTAACTACTAAACATTATTACATTCAGCACCTACAGGTACAATATAACCAACAACTGAATTATTTGAAAGCCTTTCTTGGCAATGTAGGACATTGTGACCTTGAGGCGAAGAAGACATAACAGGTTGTGAGAATGTGGAAGGTTTTTGTTAACTCCTTAATCCTCACTGACCAGTGGATAAATCATTACAAATCCATGCAGTGCAGACAAAATAAAGTACTGTTGGAGAAAGAAAAATGTCCAAAGATACCAAATATGTCATGCATTTTATGCAAATTATTATATAATTAACCATACGATTTAAATATATAACGTGTGATGGAATGGTGAAGCCAGAAAACGTGGAATAGAATGTTTCCAACTGTAAACAACTTAGGGGGACAGAGATATACAAATGAATATTAGAGGGATTCATAACATGAATGGTGGTGGAGCATCTTCAGAACTGGTATGTTGATACTGAGAGGTTTACTATTCCTTCTGAAGAATCTCTGGGAAAAACACGTCTTAAGTCCCCAGGAATTGATTTGATCATCTAAAAGATATGGGGGAAATTTGAGGGAGCATTCGGGCTAAATGTCTTGGTTTTGTTTGTGACTTTATCTTCTGAACTCTGGATTTGCCGAACTTGTGTGTGTAATGAGCCTGAGAACGGGGTTGGATTAACTCTGGGTAATTACGATGAGATTGCAATCAAAGTTTCAATTAGACTGCAGCTACAGTTACTCCCGCCTGGGTGTTGGTTAATTTGTGATCTGTTAATTTGGAATTAGAGTATTTTTCTTCTCACTCTCTCACTCTCATTTTTCTTTCTCTCTTGTCTCAAATCGGTTAGGAGCTTCATTATCAATCACGTGTATTGATATAATGTATTACTGAATTCCATATTAGCCCACAGACATGAGGCAGTAAATATTTCCCATGGTTAGTTGTGTGTATATGTGTGTGTGTGTGTGTGTGGCTCTGGCAGAGCTCAAACCCTCACTATCAATTACAGAGAGAGGATGATACACTGTGATAACAGGTGATGGCAGGATTTCAAGTTGCAACTGCAACATAGGCCTGAAGGAATGCCCTAGAAAACTACTAAAAGGTTGAAAGCTTGCCAGCTCTGCTCCTGAGATCATATTGCGCGAGTGCGTCCAAATCAAATGAAAGATTTCCTCATCTCATCCATTTAATGCTTCTTACTAGCACTGATGCGTAGCCTACTTCCACGTCTGATAAATAAAGCTTGAAATTTCCCAAGAGAATCAACTCTGGAAATTAATTTGAGAGGTGCAATACGCATAACTAGCAGTAGGGGGCGGCAACGCCCTAAAAGACATTGGTATTTGTACACGAAGAAAACGTTGACCAATGGGAGGCCATAGAAATAGAATGTCTAGAGCAGTTTGCTGTAATTACCAATTAACCACAGGTATTGCATTAATTTACACTTTCTTTGTGTTGGTTCCCATTCACGTTTGAACAGACATCATGTTAAAATAGCTTTATTGACATTGCAGGAGCTGGTGTGTACATTTGTATCAGCTGAATAAAAAAAAAACAGCCAGTAATAGTCAACATATTACATTTCTTATTTTATCTCTTTTGTGATGACCTCGTTATTCTCATCTCTAACAACGTGCAAACTTAAATTAGATACATTATTTCAAAAAAAATAAGAATAATAGATTGTTTTTGCAGGGCGAAATTCATGTGTGAAATGTAACCTCAGCTATATGCCTGTCTATGTGGTTTGGTTCTATAGAGTTGCTGCTGTAGCTATTGTTTTGATTAAGAAAATCATTTGTAAAGCTCCAGCTACGGATTACGTTATCTAAGGTTAGTTTTACACTCGATTGTTTTACTGAATGCACATTAAGTATTTAACTCAATGATGATTCAAATCGCATACTGACGAGGTGGTGTCAACTAAAGCTGCCTGTCGGCTAGTTAACAGCCTGCTAACTGAGTGCTAACTCTAGCTAGCTAGCTAGCCTAGCGGCACATCAGTCCGGTATGCTAGTGCTAGAACCATTGTTTCTGATAACGATAACGTCAAAATGCCTTTGATTTTTTTTAATGATAACGACTATTAGACATTCCACTTCCATACAGCACTAGCTCGTGGTGTCGGAGACCGCATCTCGTGCACCGCAGCTGTTACAATTGGCATTAGCTCGTGTAAGTTGACGCTAGCCAATAATGGGGCTGTTTGCCAGCTGGTCATACAGTGGGTATGGATGTCATCCAACGTCTTATTGTTTGTCGATTTAATGCTACATATAAGTTGGTGCTTTACATTTAATGATGTCCACTCACTGGCCAGTGTTATTCCATCATATTGACCAGAACATTAGCTTAACGTCAACATGAATGTTGGCAGACACTTCCTACAGCGCTACCTGCACAGAAGCACATTAATGTCATTACAAAGGACGCTAAATGCCAACATAACCTATTGTGGTTTTGATACTATTGTTAATTAAAGGAATAACCCGTGTTTTGAAGTCTATGTTGGATCCTTTTGTAGTGAGGTTAGACTGTTCTGGTCTTCAAATTTTGGAATAAGGTGATTTAAATGCTATAATATATACAGTAACGTTAGCCACATAGTTTACCAGTTAAACACACGAAGCGGTTTTTAAGGTGTTGTTTTAGTTTAAATAGATGGCACCACAGTAAAACTACGAAACAATGGTTCAGAACATAGTGTATTCGTCCTGTCGAGGGAAAAACTCGATGCAATTTATCATTGAATCGTGCACTGTCTACTTTCACCCAGCAGGTGGCACTGTGGCATAGTTTTATTTGATAGGTTTGCAAAGCAAAGCAACGTGAATACTGTCATTTTTATGCTCTTTCTTAGCTTTTGAGTATTTTGTTCATAGCTAAACTTTTTTCTTGGACTTGATCGGCAGTATCTGTGATTTAGGCATTTAGATGTGTCACTAGAAACTCACATAAGGCATGACAGGAGTGTTTGAAAGAAAACCCCTGCTTACGTTAACTGTCTAGAGAAAACATACTCTCTTAGACCAGCTAATTCCTCTGTGAGTTTTTCCCCACAGCACTTGGCAGGGAGCAGAAACCGCATCCAGGATGCAGAGACTCACTTCCCACGTAGTAATTCAGAGGAGGTCAAAGGTTAAGACACAAGGATGTTGTTCCTAATTTTAGAATTCAACCTGGGCTGTTAACCCACACGTACCCTAAATCGGCATGCTTTTTAATTCTTAAATTACAGTAACAAATATTGTAATTTCAAGCTGAGATGTAACACTGGTAAGTAAACTGTGTGATGTTTTCACTACGAAGTCTCTTTAAAGCTTAGTTTAGACCAGAAGTTCAGCCAGACAACAGATTTCTTTTTCTCTTATCTCTAATTAAGAGGCAGTTACACAACATTACTTCCTCCTGTTGAAAATAGGCTAGAATTAGCAGCGGGATGAGCGGTGTTTTTTTCTTCTTTCACTGGCTCAATAATGACTGATAGCATCAAGACGTTTCTATTAGAGGAAACGGGGCCGGCCAGGAGGAGGTTTGGAGCCAGGCCTGGGGGGGGAGTGAGCAGAAAGAGGCGACACCGTTGAACAGTCTGCCCTCTGTTTCCTGGCTGGGCAGCGTCCCCGGTGACGCCTCGCTCCAACCCAAAATGCTGAACCCATCTTCACCGGGCAGCAATATGTGTCCCCATTTTTATTTCATCTGACTCGCTTTGACTTAACTTAACTAACCACTGGCCTTTCCAGTCATATTAATACCAGTTAGGTCTTAGCTCTTACGGTACTGGTTTGAGACGTTCTCCCTCTGTTTTCCTCCAGACCCCCCCCCC